ATGTGACCTCCCTGAAGGAAGACCTTGACCAATATGAAAGAGGATTTTGTTGCTCGAATCAAAGAATCCATTGGTAAGAAAGGAACCGTCACTCGTTCGACTGGAAAACAAAATATGTGAATATTGGATGGGTGAGTTTTTATAGCTTTCCCTGTTTAACTACATATCCTGTGTGTCTTTTTAATCATTGTTTTTCTAATTTTCTTCTTTTGTTCTAGGATTGACATGCCACTTGGGACAAATACCATTTGTTGATGTCATGCTTCTTTTCCTGGTATTTTTTGTTCTCCTCTGTTCTCCCACCATAAAATTTCTGTCCTTCTTTCCTGTGAGAACATGATTTTCATCTTTTCCATCTATGTAATAAGCTTATTTGAGCAAGCTACCATGCTTTATTTCGATTTTCTTTATTCATTATACATATCTGTATGGTGCTCTTTATTCTCGTTCATTTTCTCTTTATCCATACAAAAGTATCACAATTATATACTGAAAAGATAGTGAAGAAAAATCATGCACTCATAAATTGCATATTCAGGAAACATATAGGTATTGAGTGACCGAGGCTAATGATTTGAAAAGTTGTTAGCATATGCTTTGGGTGGGTACTTATTCAGAGGAGCCCACTATAAGCCTATTATTTTATTGGCAATTTTACTGTTAGTGCAAAACACTAGCCCACTGTTGTCAAGATATTGTTTGCTTTGGCGGCTTGGGTGGCCCGACTCCAAAGCCTAGCCCCTTACGGTTTTGTTTTCAGGCCCAGGAATCATGCTTAAGCCCAAAATGCATCCTAATCATTGGAGGGTTTCCCCTACTATTTAACTAGCTCAGGCCCTCTTTCCTAAGCGATGTGAGATGTCTCAATCTCCCCCTCCCCCGTTAGGATACAGCGTCCTCGATGTGATCCCTCTTGGGGAGGCAAGATCTCTAACTATCCGCACACTTCTAGTTGAGATTGCTCTAATACTAATTGTAACACCACTGCCCACTGTTGGCCCAACAATATCAATACGTTGTCTACTTTGGTGGCTTAGGTGGCCTAACTTTGAAGGTCAGCCCCACACGGTTTGTTTTTTAAGCCCAAAATGCGTCTGCATTAGGGGGTTCCCTTTGTATTTAACCAGCTCAAGCCCCTCCTTCCCAAGCAATGTGGGATGTCTCAATACCACCCCCCCCCCTCTATCTGCACACTTCCCGTTGGGATTGGCTCTAACACAAATGTAACCCCGGCCCAACGCTGTCATATATTGTTGTTTTGGTAGCTGGGTGGGACAACCTAAAGCTCAACCCACACAGGTTTGTTTTAGAACCAAGCACCCTTACTTAAGTCCAAAACGCATCTTAACTACTGGGCGGTTTCCTGGTATTAACCAGATCATGCCCCTCCTTCCCAAGCAATATGGAGGCTTTAGTTAGCTAGATCATACAAACAAAGATGTTTGCTTTGAAGTAACGCCACACATATCTTTTTTGAACTTCACATAGTGATCATCACCAAGACACAACATCTTAGTTAGGAGAACCAAAGGTTACCAAATTACTTAGGGCTCGACAAGCTCGCGACCTTTAGAGAGCTCGAAACTCAAAAGGGGTTATATGCTATTTTGAAAATATTAGGGGGTATAGAAATTTATAATTTTGAAAATTCACAAACACGCCCCATAAAAGTCAAATAACAATCATTTCATTGGTCATTCATTGGTGGGCTTGAGATGTGGCATAACATTAATTGAGTTGTCAACTTGTCATTTACTTTTTATGACACAAACCATAGATTAATTTGTAAATAAAAAAACATGTTCGGTCTCCTCTCAAAATAAAGAAACATTTCTCTCTTCCTTATGGGAAAAAGTAATTCTCACTTTTTCTTGTAAGTTGTAACTCACCAACTCGTTCTCTTTTTCTCTTATACCTGTAAAAAAATAAGCTATTTCTCTTCCACTGTTCTCTTTCTTCTTTTAACTTTTTCTCTTTTCCACTTTTTCCTTTCTCTGTCTTCTTCTCCCATTGAGAGCAATTTTTCAAACTTTTCCCCTTTCTTTCTTTTGCCTTTCAAAATTTTGAAATTGTGAGTATTTTGATTGGTGTGTCGTGGTTCTTGTTGAAGCAAAGTTAAGGTGTTGTTTTGGTTTGTTATGGAAGATGATGTTGTTGGAGCCGTTTGCTCTGGCTTGTTGCTTCTTTGATTTGGGTTTTTCTTTTTTAATTTATGATGAAAAAAAATGAAGAAACGAGCTAGAGAGCTCAATTAGCATTCGACAGTTGCACTAATCGAGCATCGATCGAGCTTGAGAAACCCTTTACAGTCTCAAGCTTGAGCTCAAGATTATAACTTCAGGCTCCACCGACCTCAAGCTCGAGCTCAGTACTGTAGCTGTCCAACTGAGCTTGAGTAGCCAGATACTTGGCTCGGCTCGGCTCGGCTCAATTTCACCCCTAGGAATGACCATTATGTATGGAACGACATGCCTAGAAAAGTGTCATTTTGGATAGATCCATGAACAGCCAATGGAACAATGTCGTTTGTCTTTGGAACGGGTTGCCTAGAAGGAGGAACAGGTGTTCCTTGGGATGGAATGAGCCTTGGGATGGAACGGGCATTCCAAATTGGGTTGAAGGAAAAAGGAAGAGAAAAAGGGAAAAGGAGCTTGGATTCAGCCGAAATAGTGTGCTAAAGGAGAAGAAGGAGTTTAATTCTTAGAGGATTAGCACTTGATTTTGAGCTTTCAAAGCAGTGAATGGAAAAATCTGAAACCCTAATTTTTATTTTAGCAAAAGTTATCTCTATATTTTATAAATAATTCCTATTGGTGAAATTCTTGCCCTAGTATGCTTGATATTTGTTGACTCTTATGATTCTTAAAAGAGTTTTGCTTGGATTGGGCAAATAGTTTTGATAAAGAGATGAAAGTGGGCTAAATTGTAAATTTTGAAAATCATGTTGAAAGTTACTTTCACCCTTGTGTTACATGAGAAATGCTTGTGAAGTTATATGTTTTCCCTTTTCATTCATAAAGTATCATGATCTTTAATATGGCTTAGTATAAAGAAGAAAAGTGTGTGATTATGAGAAAGAGTATAAGTTTTTATGAGAAAAGTGAGGATCAAGAAGTAGTGATAGCTGTGGTCTACAAACCACCCTACAAAGTATCCATTCCCCAGATTACAGATTTTAGGCTCTACCAAAGTGAGATTCCACTAGGTATTGAGAGATTTAGTTTTATGGCTTTACAGATGTGTATGGCTTTGCACATGCGTATTGAAAGATTACAGTGCTTTGCCTAGGCATTGAGCTTTCCACTAGGTATTGAGAGATTTTCAATGGCTTTGCTTATGCAATGATAGATCTTGTCGAGTATTGAGAGATTTTCTCAGCTCTGCCTATGTGTGGGATGCCCGCTAAGTATTAAGAGATTTCCCCTATGGGTACTAGTTATGGTGAGAGATTTTAGCATTAGATACGAGACAGTTTTCAGAAAGAGTTTTTAGTTTTGTTATGATATTGGGTTGTGCTAGTTCATGAGAATTGGCTTTAGATTTTGAAATATGATTATACAAATGTTTTTCGAAAAGCATGAATATTTACTACATGCCTTAAATGTTGTTATCAGAAATGCTATTAGCTTATAATTATTAGTTTATGAGAAATTGTTTAAATGTTGTAAAATGATTATTAGGAAAGCGATTTAATAAAGCATGAATATTTTTCGCATATATGATGTTTTCAGAAAATGTTTCACAAAACACCCACTCATTGAGTATTTATAGCTCACCCTTCTTTTTTGTCAAATTGTTTTCCCCCGATAGGTCAAGAAGGAGGGGAGTGATTGCACTCAAGATTCAGCGACGCGACATCATATCATTTGAGTGAAACATGTCATGTTTGGAATCCGTTGCTAAACTACGATTTCTTTTCATATGTTATTTTGATTGTAAGAGATAGGAAAACTTGATACCTTTCAAATTTTCAAATTGAATTTTGGGAACATGTTTATTTGTGATGGAAAGAATGAGAAAAACGTTTATGTTGTTTTATTAAGAGAAAACAGATTTAAAAAATTTCAGCTTTCCGACATGGCACATCTCGATCACTTGAGTCTCATGGGTGCACCCAAAGCTTGTGGGATAGGAGGGCCAGGACAGGTCATGTATCTTATCAAAACTTGATCGACCGATCTCCTAAAATTATCTCTAGCAGTTGTTCAAAACAGTCTGCATAATAATTGGAATATTTCTTAAACAAGAAGTCGAACAGGCACACGGTCCACGAGCATATATAATGGGAATGTTTAGCTCTCATCTTCAATTTTAAATGAGGATATATTTGTAAAAAAAAAAAATGTATTTTTGTTTTTCTATATTTTTACTTCAAAGCTTTATATTTATAATCATCAAATTTAAAAATAAATATTAATAGATCAAAAATAACATTAACGCATGAGATAAAACCAATCATTATCTTTATCATACAATTATTGATTGATTTGTTTATAGAATCACAACCTCAATGCTCTTACAATTAATCAAGTAATCGCTTCTAATTTCTAAATGGCATCTTAACAGAAGAGAGATCTAGTTTCATACCCATTAAAACAAAAAACCCGGTATCATGAATTCCTGTTGAGGAACTTTTGTGTTTTATTGTTAATCTTGCGGATTGATTTAAATATATTTTAAACTTTTTATAATGGCAAAATAAAACTTTGAAGTATGGAAGAAGAAGAAGAAGACTTTTTTTTATTAGAATTCTATCCTCACTTAACATTAAAGATGGGGACTAAAGAGGAAAATAGTTGGGGCCCAAAAATTAATTACTTCCCTTACTTGTATGAATTTAACTTTTTAATGTAAAATCCATTGTCATCCTATGAATGCACGAGGTTTTTATTTTTATTTTTATAGTAGCCGATCAATTTTCACCTCATCCAAATTGTGATATAGATGTGATTATGTGAACACATAGAATCAATTATAAATTATTAATACAACGACTGAAGTAGTTAAATTTATTTGGATGATTACAGAAAGGTCTCTGGTGATCGATGAAGTAAAAACAACTAAGAAATATTTTTGAGGGCACTTGGTTGATTAATTATTTGGCAATGAGCCTAACTATTTCTTGTTTATTTGGCTGTAGAAAGTGATCGGTTAAGCCAAAGTGTGCCATGAGAAGCCATACATGAGTTAGAAACTCTCCACCACTTCTAAGCTGTTGCCCATGCTGTCTCCCTTTACACTTACTTGCTGTAAAAGCAAGTATTTCCAGCCAAATGCAACCAATTTTGTTCCATTTCTCCGCCAAATCCTAAGCATAACATTAATGAAAGATTATTAATTAAAGAATATAATCAATGTATTTTAGAATGGTTAAAGGTAACTAGTCTGTACCTTTTCTTCATGTGTCATCTTCTGAATATGCTCCAATGCCTCCCCTAAGACTCCTTCCAATCCCAAAAAACAGGAGTCAGCCAATCTTTTGGATGCTGCGGTTTTATCAATATTCCTCTTCCGGCCTCGTTTATCGCCTTTTCCTCTTGCCGGTGAAGCTATATCCCTAACTACAGCACTTATGTCCTGAAAGCTAGTCTGAGCCAATCCAATTGATACCATTGCAGGATGCACAACTAGTAGATACAGCATATATCTTGAGATTTGTTTGATTAATTTACAATGAACCTTAATGGAACAAATTCTTGCTTAGTCTCCGAATTGCCTCTGCCTAAGTTGTACCAAACATCTGTTGTTCAAAATGGTGATATTTTGCTTGAAACAATATTTTGATTATGCTGGAGCTGGGAATTGGCGGCAAGAGGGCAGAATTTGAAGTTGTGAAATCTGTTTGGAGCAGTTCACGTTGCTGTCTGTAGGCATGCTGAAGATATATTTTTTGGTGAATTCAGCTTGCAATAGGCTGCCAACTTTATATCAATTTAATGTGACGTAATCAGAGTTGCTAAGAATGTATGGTTAGGAAGTTATTTTGGATTGAAATATGTTTTATGATTAGGTAGAACAGTATGTATGTATGTGTATAAAAACTCTGCTGTATTTTCTATTTTACAAATAAACCAATGCAAGCCCTTCCTCTCTCTTGTTTTCTTTCTTTTTTCTCTCCCGTATAACCATCTTTACATGCCCAAATAACCAACAACTGGTATCAGAGCCAGCCCCATTTGAGCTAAGTTATTGACCAACGGTGGGCTGCCAAGCTACCTCAATTCATAAGCAAGTGGACCATATGGGCTTGACCATGAGGGAAAGTGTTGGAGATCCCATATCGACTAGGCACACTCAATGGGTTTATAAGAGTAGGCAATCTTCCCACTCAATAAGGCCTTTTGGGTGAGGAGTTGGGCCCAACTCCAACAACTGGTATTAGAGCATCACTTTGATCTTAAGGGGCTTGCAAAACCATCAGCTTGGCACTCACTCACTCAGTCCTCACCACACTGAAAACCAGGCTTCATGGCAGCAAGTTCAGCTTCACTCTTGCCTCCAACCTTCAATGGAGAACAGTACCATATGTGGGCTGTTAAGATGAAGGCTTACTTGAGAGTTTAAAGCCTATGACAGTATGTCGAAGAAAAGAAGCAGCCACCACAGTTGGGACCAAATCCAACCTTGAATCAAATAAGACTCCATGAAGAAGAGACTACAAAAGCTCCAAGAGCTCTTTCCCATTTACATGTTGTAGTCACCGATCAAGTCTTCACAAGAATAGTTGTCACGCCCGCTCCCAAGTATCCCTATCCCACTGGATCCAGGTGCTCCAGGAGACTTAGGATCCCGAAAGGAAGGTGAATACTCTATATATAAAAAAAAAAACGTTCATAAAAAAACAATTCCGTCTATAGACAAAAGTGAAAAGTAATGCATTTGCATGTTTAAGGTTTAGAAAGCGGAAATACACAAAATAATTATTCTAAAAGCGAGAATTGAAAATCTAGTTACAAAAAGAAACATAATATCAGAGTCCACTAAAGTTTGTAAAAGATGCAGATCATCATGTGTCAAAGCCAACCTAGAGCATAGAGTATGCTCCACATGAACCCGATCTACGATCCTGGGGGAGGAAACATAAAATACTGAGCTGGGAAGCCCAGTGAGCGGATAGTATATTTTATATGAAAATAACTTTAACTTTGAAAACATGCATAAATAATCTAGTTGCATGCCACACAACACTAATGCACTTACATGATAAGGCAACAAACAACATATATTATTCTCGGATGCCATGAAATCACACACCACTATCATATAAAATAAATCAATTATCACCACCCTACTAGCACTTAGTGACCTAGATCATAACTATCCGAACCAGTCCCTAACTCAGACATGAAGCTACAGCACCCGCAATCTACCCTCGGGGTGGCACCATTCGCAATCTACCCTCGGGATGGTACGAAGATCACTGGATAACCATGCTTGACCCATAGTCTACCCTTGGGGCATCCAAAATCCCACACTGGCCAATAACCGCCTGGTCTAATCTCACCCGGAGCTCGTCAGGCGTTCGTCTTGTCCGACTAGCATATCCCAATCGTTCAGTAGGACAAACCATCTCAATGCTCACATGAGGATAAATATCAAATACTAACTGATGTATTGAGGGAGATGGATACTAAACAAGGGTGGTTTCTAATTCGGGAGTCAAACATATTAATAATCATGCATCCAGAATTTCATTCCATATATGCATCATGCATACCTTGTACATATAAAAAGTATAATATGATATAAAATTTCAATAAAAAGGGCATGTAATCATGAATGCAATGCTCACCATGTCAAAAGTACAAAAGTGTGAAAAAATCTATTTACACCCTATATTTATCATCAATTTCACTAAAATCTCAAAACTTTTAATCTTTGCAGTCAACCCCTAACTGACTTTCAACCTTGATAGTTGCACACCCGTAACCGAGAACACAATGCCCCACAAAATTTTATTTTCCCATAATATCCTCCCCACTAATTATCATCAAAGCCTAAACCCAACAAAAATAATATAATTGGCCTAATCATTATTAATAAACCAGCCCACTAACATATACAAATTCAATTCCCAACAAATTAATATGTTGGGCCTTATCATTAACAATAAGTCAACCCACCAATACAAACAAATTCATCCAAAACCCTAAACAATAACTGTGCCTCATTATCCTTTTATAGCCCAATAAGGCTTCAAAACCCAAGTCCATTCATTCTTTTATGGAACTAAAACCCAATAAACAAAATCTAGCCTTATTTTATTAGGCCCGCCACTATTATAATTAAACTCAATAACTCAAACAACATCTCTTCCCCAAATTTCCCCAGCAGCTTAACAAAATGTTTCTTCCAAATTTCATTGAGCACAAAGCAAAATAAACTTCCAGCCAACAAAATGAAAATAAAACAGCAATTCTTTACATACCAAGGTAAGCTTCCAGTTCACGTTTTCATACCAAAATTTCTTTTTAAGAAAAAATTCCAGCCAACAATATAACATTGAAACAGTAAATATATAAACACTTATGGTAAACTTCCAGCAACTCCAATGTGCACAATTCATAAACTAAACCCATAACAATAAATCATCAATATGACAGTACCAAAACACAAATGCTGCCTATTCTTAAATTTCATTGTGTCAAACCAACTTAACCAATCAATTATCGATTTCATGTCTTCTCCTCATCACAATACATTGCTCAGCATTCCCGACCCATAAACCAACACAACAAAAATATTGAAGAATGACAACATGCATAACACCGGAATTGTCCACAACCACACATGAATTTGAAAACATGCAATTTCTTGCAATACTATTCCACTCACAAATTTCTCCTTTGCTTTCATCTCAAGTGCTCAGTTCTCCTGTCTTCTTCACTTATTTGATTCAAAATTGTTATAGGAATTAAGATCTAATCAAAGAGAAAATTAAAGATCGATTAAATACAATAAAGGATTGAAAATGTATGCATAACACTTATTCCTTTACCCCAAAATTTCTCTAAAAATTCTTCTCCTACAAAGCACCTCTTGGCCCTCCTCTATTTTAACTCAAATATTTTTTTTAATTTATTTTTTTTTTGTTTCTCCATTTCAATTTACACGAGAGAATGAAAAGAAGCTAAGACATTTCTCCACTCTCCCATTCTTTTCTCCTCATCTCAATTTAATATAAATTCACAACCATCATTGGCAAAACAAGGTGCCAAAACCGGGGGCTGATTCTCCAAAAAAGAATTACCTTTAATCCACCTTGCAATGGCCAATTATACATGCATCCCTTAGTCTTTGATTCTTACATCTTGCACCCCAAAATCCTTTAATTAAAGTTCTGTTTTATCACAATCTCACCCTTGGAAAATTATGCATGTGCCTTTGCATGACACAATATTAGTAAGACCCCTCATCTTTAATCAATTTCATAATGTTGTTGAAAGATTTTCACACTTCCAATTTCACACAAGTGCTCCTGCAAAACTATTTAATAAACCCACCAGGCCTTATTTCTTACTAAAATGTCTCCAAAAAGTTTCAATTCTTACACATTACCCCCTAGATTCACATAAATAAAATTAAATAAAATCCACAGAGAAAATACGGAGTATCACAATAATGGCTTGTGAGACAGCAAAGGAATCTTGGGAGAAACTTAAGGAAGAATTTGGAGGAAGTAGCCAAACCAGAAACATGCAAGTCTTGAACCTAAGGAGACAGTTTGAGACATTGAAAATGCAAGAGGCTGAAGTGGTTAAGGAGTATGTAGATAGATTAATGAATGTGGTTAACAAGATGAGGTTGCTAGGGAAAGAGATAACTGATAAAAGAATTGTATTGGTAAGCCTACCCGAGAGGTTTGAATAAAAAATCTCCTCTTTGGAAGATTCCAAAGACTTGTCTCAAATTACTTTAATTGAACTTGTTCATGCTCTTCAAGCTTAAGAGCAAAGAAGAAAGTTAAGGTAGGAGGACAGTGGTGAAGCTGCATTGGTCGTCCAACAAAAGAGCAAGCCAACTCAGGGAGGAAACAAGAGGTTTATAGAAGAAAATAGAGGAAAGGAAAGAGTAAGCAGTCAGTGGAACAAACCAGCAGGTTTAGGGAGTTTTGCACCATGCTCCCACTGCAAAAAGAAGAACCATGCAGAGAACAAGTGCTGGTTCAGACCAAATGTTCAATGTAGGGCATGTACGCAACTAGGCCACATTGAAAAGGTTTGCAAAAACAAACCACATCAACCTACACAGCAAGCACAGACGACTGAAGATCTGTAGCAGAATTCAGAATCTGAGCAGTTGTTTGTGGCATCCTACTATTTTGTTTAATTCAATGCTAGAGCTTGGCTAATCGATAATGGATGTACAAACCATATGACACATGATCTGGAGAATTTTGTGAAGTTGGATCAAGCATACCAGTCAAGTGTAACGGTGGAAAATGGTGAATTTGTGAAGGTTAAAGGCAGGGGAGATGTGTTGTGCAGACCTTGACAGGTACAAAAATTATTTCTAATGTGTTGTCTATTCCTGAAATCAACCAAAATCTGCTTAATGTAGGTCAAATGCTTGAAAGAAATTACATCCTACACTTTGAAAAAAAAACTTGCACAATATTAGACAATGAAGGAAATGTGATGATGCATGTTAAAATGGTGAGGAAGAGCTTCCCGGTTGAACTCAAAAAATTAGAATTTCATGCTATGATAGTGAATTCAGATGACACAGACCTATGGCATAAAAGATATGGTCATTACCATTATGCTAGCCTTAGGCAAATGAAGCTTAAAGATATAGTACATACCTTACCCCAAATGGAAGAGAAAGAGGGCTTGTGTAGAGTATCCCAAATAGGAAGCTTAGCATACCAGCCTTTCCANTGATCTGGAGAATTTTGTGAAGCTGGATCAAGCATACCAGTCAAGTGTAAAGGTGGGAAATGATGAATTTGTGAAGGTTAAAGGCAGGGGAGATATGGTTGTGCAGACCTTGACAAGTACAAAAATTATCTCTAATGTGTTGTTTGTTCCTGAAATCAACCAAAATCTGCTTAGTGTAGGTCAAATGCTTGAAAGAAATTACATCCAACACTTTGAAAACAAAACCCACAAAATATTAGACAATGAAGGAAATGTGATGATGCATGTTAAAATGGTGGGGAAGAGCTTCCCGATTGAACTCTAAAAATCAGAATTTCATGCTATGACAGTGAATTCAGATGACACAAACCTATGGCATAAAAGATATGGTCATTACCATTATGCTGGCCTTAGGCAAATGAAACTTAAAGATATGGTACATACCTTACCCGAAATGGAAGAGAAAAAAGGCTTGTGTAGAGTATGCCAAATAGGGAAGCTTAGCAGACCAACCTTTCCAACAAACTAGGCCTGGAGAGCTACTAAAAGATTCCAATGTTGCACACTGATGTGTGTGGACCAATACAGACCCCATCCCTAAGTGTATCCAGATATTTCACTTTGTTTATTGATGATCATTCAAGAATGACTTGGGTTTACTTCCTAAAGCAAAAATGAGAAGTTGTTGCTCTGTGTAAGAGGTTTAAAGCTCAAGTTGAAAACCAAGCTAGTGTAAAGATCAAGGCTGTGAGAAGTGATAATAGGGGTGAATACACCTCAAGTGAGTTTGAATCAACATGCAAGGAGGCTGAAATATGACATCAGTTTAGCTGTCCCTACACTCCTCAACAAAATGGAGTGAGTGAGAGAAAAAATAGGACAGTGATGGAGATATCAAGATGCTTGTTGATTGAAAAAGGGATGTCGAAGGAGTTGTGGGCAAAATCAATCAACACTAGTGTGTATCTATTGAATAGGCTTCCAACCAAGGCTTTAAAAGATCAAACTCCATTTGAAGCATGGTATGGAGTTAAGCCTCAAGTGGACCATCTTATAGTCTTTGGGAGTATATGTTATGTGCTCATACTAGTCATCAAAAGATCAAAGCTTGATGACAAGGCAAAGGTTGGAATTCTGGTTGGTTACAACCTCCAATCCAAGGCATACAGGGTCTGCATTCCGGAGCCTAAAAAGGTTATGGTTTCAAGGGATGTAAAGGTCGATAAGAGGTCAGTGTAGAATTGGGAAGAGAAGAAAATTCAGGATGATCCACAGCCACAACAAAGAGAGCAAGTTGCTGACCAAGTTGATGGGGCAGATTCTAATGTAGAAGAAGAAGTATGAGTTAGAGGAACCAGACCTCTTGCTAAGATTTATGGGAGATGCAATGTTGCAATGCTTGAACCAGCATCCTATCATGAAGCAACCAAATAAGAGGAATGGAGGCTTGCTATGCAGGAGGAGTTGTCCATGATAGAAAAGAATGGAACATGGGAGCTTATGGAAAGGCCAGCTGAGAGAAAGGTGATCCAGGTAAAGTGGATCTTCAAGAAAAAATTGAACCCTGATGGTTTAGTTTTGAAGCACAAAGCTAAGTTAGTTGTGAAAGGCTTTGCACAACAACATGGTGTAGATTTTCAAGACACATTTGCTCCTATTGCTAGGCATGATACAATCAGGTTAGTCCTTGCTTTGGCAGCTCAATTCAAGTGGAAAGTTTATCAAATGGATGTCAAGTCAGCCTTCTTGAATGGTTGGCTGGAGGAAGAGATATTTGTTGAACAACCTGAGGGACACGAAGTCAAAGAGAAAGAAGACCATGTCTACTTACTGACGAAGGCCTTATATGGCCTAAAACAAGCTCCAAGAGCTTGGTACAGCAGAATCAATGACTACCTAGACAACCTAGGTTATGCAAGGAGCCTAAATGAGCATACTTTGTATGTGAAGAAAGCCAATGAAGATGTGATCATGGTTTCCTCATATGTAGATGATTTGCTGGTGACAGGAAACAAATTCAAGTTGAAGAGTTCAAGAAGGAAATGCACAAAGAGTTTGAGATGACTAATTTGGGAGAGATGACCTATTTTCTTGGAATGGAAATCCATCAATCTCAAGATGGCATTTTTATATGTCAAAACAGATATGCTAATGAGATGCTGAAGAAGTTTGGGATGGATGAATGTAAGTCGGTTGCCACACCTTTGGTGCAAAATCAAACACTGTGCAAAGAGGATGGAGCAGCCCTGGTGGATGAGACAGATTATAAAAGGTTGATTGGGAGCTTGTTGTATTTAACAGCAACAAGACCTGATCTCATGTTTGCCACTAGTCTCCTATCAAGATTTATGAGTAAATCAAGTGACGAGCATCTTAAAGCAGCCAAGAGAGTGCTGAGGTTCATCAGAGGAACTGCAGATCATGGAATCTGGTTTAGGAAATCTGAAAATTTCAGATTGATAGGCTATTCAGATAGTGATTGGGGAGGCTCTTGTGATGACATGTGGAACACTTCAGGGTATGTTTTCCTACTGAATTATGGAGCCTTTTGCTGGTCTTCCAAGAAGCAAGAAATAGTGGCTCAATCCACTACAGAGGCTGAATACATATTAGCTACTGCTGCAGTAAATCAAGCCATATGGTTGAGGAATTTGCTTGCTGATATGGAGGTAAAACAGTGTGAGCCTACTAAAATATTTTGTGATAATCAATTGGCTGTTGCAATGGCAAAGAATCCAGACATGCATGGTCGAACTAAGCACATCAAAATCAAGTTTCATGCACTGAGAGAGGTTGAGCAATGCAAGGAAATCAGATTGACACACTGTAGGGGAGAAGTGCAATTGGCTGACATCTTTACAAAGTCCTTATATAAGTCCAAGTTTGAAGACCTGAAACTTAAACTTGGTGTCTCAAGCAAAAATATCAAGGAGGAGTGTTCAAAGTAGTGATATTTTGCTTGAAACAAATGTTTTTGATTATGCTGGAAGCTGTGAACTGGCGGCAAAAGAGCAGAATTTGAAGTCTGGAGGAGTTCACATAGCTAGTCTATAGGCATGCTGAAGTGATATATTTTGGTGAATTCAGCTTGCATTTGGCTGCCAAGTTTATATCAAATTAATGTGATGTAATCAGAGTTCCTAAGAATGTATGGTTAAGAAGTTATTTTGGACTAAAATATATTTTAAGATTAGGTACAACAGTATGTCTATTTGTATATAAAAACTCTGCTGTAGTTTTTATGCAATACATTGAACCAATACAAGTTCTTCCTCTCTCTGTTTTTTACTCCTTTTCTCTCCCGTATAACCACATTTGCATGCTCAAATAACCAACAAACACTAGCTGTTATCCCCAATGTTTTGTCTAATCCAATGCATTTTTTAAGATCATTGATCACATGAATGTAAAAAAACAAAGGATCCAATGAGATTGCAATCACACACAAAATAAGACGAATCCACTTCCCGAATGGCCCCTTGTGGATCAAGGATTTTCTTCACACAAAGCAAGTGTTTGATCACCATATTCTGATATCTAGATTTTGGTAGTTCTCTAGTGCTCCTAGGCCCTTGAATTTCAACATCAGAATTTGGCCCTCTTTGGAACTCCACTGAAACTGAGACTGTTTTATTTCTAAGTTCTCCAGAATATTTTCTTGCTGCACCTTCCTCTAAATTCAAGTCCACAGACCTGAACAAAGAATAAAGTCAGTTTGAAGCTCAGTTACTGGCTATATCCATATGCATTAACCATTAAAAGAACATTGCCATTGAAGAATTAAAATAAATAAATAAATAAAAAGCATTTTAAAGAGCTCAATCAAATGCTTAATACATAATTTACTTTTCTTCAACTAGTCCAGACCTAGGCCATGAAAATGTGATCTAGGCTAAAATGGCTGTTTCAAGTACATTATGTAGCAATATAATAAACAATCAATTACATGTTTAAAAATTTTGAAGAAGAAAACCTTTGATTTCTACAAATTTGGCTAGGCAACCTTCCTTACATAGTAAATTTATGAATAAAATTGTGAAGTGTGTTTAGGTTTCTTGGAGGTCAAGTAAGGGTAATGGTCCTCCAAATTGTATTGTGGGTCAAAGACTTTTCTTAAGTCATAAGAAACTTAGGGTATTCCAAGTAGATCAGCTCCAAAAAAGAAGTTCAAAGCGGTCAAAAGACTATTAGAAATGAAGATTCCATTTTTCGTTTTTCCTTTGAAAGCTCTTTGAAATTTTTTAGTTCTGTCATACAGTGAGAATGATTTATTCACTAAATAAAGGAAAAATGAAAATTTTATCACCAATTGGAAATCACTAACTAAAGAAATCCTTTATACAGGCTTTCTTTCAATGCCTATAAACTCATGAGAATGCGAAGGCTCAAAGAAAAAATAGCTAATGTTAATAATTTGAATTCTGCATATTTCTTGTAAAATCTTGTCGAAGTCATCAGAAACCACATAAAGGAGAAAGGTGCAGCAATTATTGTGTCATCATTTAATGTCATCTGACTCACGTTATTGACAAGCATGTGACTAAGACTGACAGCACTGGTCCCTTTCAGCAAAGTTGTTTAAGTGCTTGCTTTGAAACAATCCTTAGCGTTTGTTATTGATAATAGGAGTTTTCT